ACAACGATGGAAAGGATGATGCCTCTGTACATGACAACCTGCTGGAAAAATGCAGGGCAGAAATAGCAGCGGCGATGGAAAGGATGGCTCTGCACATTTTTTCGACAACAAATGCAGAGCAACAACAAAGGAAATAGAAATAACTGAAGGCCAACCATTAGGTCCATAAGAACAAGAGGTGAAAATAAATCAAACAAAGAAAGAAATAAACAGGAGACTGAAAAACTGAATATAGTCACCAAACTGTTAGGATACTAATCAAATATCTGGTATGCATATTCGCAACAGGCACGGCTAAACAATCTGCTAGAATAGGTACCTCATATATTTTTTCATCAAAATAAAAGGGCATCAATGGTACATAATTGGAAGGGCTTTTTATCACCATACAATCTTGTATGCACATGTGTGAGAAATTTATGTATAAGTAGAACCAAAATTTTCATGTAATAGTTTTAGTGAAGCACAAACCAAAGTGTACTCAGAACATAAAGAAACAGAAGAACCAAAAAAGTGATCACCGACAACCAAAGCATGTGACAATGTAATCTCCGGGAATAGGGCATGTGCTCAGAACCAACAGTGTATAATCTGTGGAGACAAGCGATGTTCACAGACAATGATCACATGCATACAATGAAGAGGAATATCTCTGACTTCCCAGGCAATAAACAGGAGCTCAGATTGGGCAACCATATGTGTTTTGACATCACAGACAATGATCATAAGCAAGCATGACCGCAACACCAAAGTCAATGATTACATTAGACAAAAGGAGAAAGCATCAGAGGCAATGACATCATAGGCTGTGCATTTTAGCAGGGGTTCTGTCAAGGAGACGACATCCACATCAGGCAGCCACCTTAGCTATCGCTTAACAGGTAGAAAATAGATGAAAAAAGCAAAATCAACACCGCTCATGATCATTGCCTCAGTTATCAACATAGTAGGTAGATGCAAAGGAAGAATCATCATAACTCCTGAACATTGCCTGAGTTACCAGGGAAAAAGAAAGAGATGTAAACTGTGTAACGGCAGCCTACGATCACTGCAAATTAGACATTAAACAGGAATTATGATGCAATCATCACAGCAGCAGCCCATTCCCTCAAACTAAACTGTAACAAGAAAAAAGCTAGTCATCATTACAGGTGACCAAGATGCAAACAATAGACCCAAAATCATTAGGGATGCACACCAAGAAACCAAACAAATATCGTTGACATGGCCACGTGCTCAGTTGTATGGCACAACAATGCCTGCTGTCAAGATCCAATAGAACCGAAGAGGCCACACCCTATAGAACACAAAACAAAGTAGTAGTAAGCTAGGGTTTCCTCCATTAGAGGCCAACAGGTCGCACGCACGTAGATCGGCGTCCACAGCGAAGGGGAGTGAGCCTCCACGAGCGCTGGGAGAGGAAGATCCCATAGGGAGAGGTACGAAGAGAGGGGGAGGAGGGACCAAACCGAGGAGAGGACGAGGTAAGGAACACCGGAGCTGTCGGGGCCGCGAACGTTTCGAGGAAGAGTAGACCTGCGCCGACTATTTGCAGGAGTTCGCACGGAGGGGAGCGGCTTTGGCCGCCGGTGGTGGCTGGCCGCGCCGCGGTGCCGTGTGAGGCCCACACCATCGATGGTGCGCCGTGCCGCTAGGGCCTGCCCACGCAGGGAGTTGGGGGAAGGGAGGGGGCAGCCGAGCTCTGCCCGCGCCGGCATGCCGTCTCATGGCAGAGATGGAGGGGGGAGGGAGCGAGGGAGGGAGAAAGGGGAGAGGAGACGGAGTAGACGAGGAGACGCTTGGAGAAGGCATATATTTTTGTACGGATCAGTGAACAAGGGCTACTAACAGATCTAGACGTCCAAGCTGCGATCAAACGGGCCAAAATATTTTTGCTACCGTGGATGGCCCGAGCATCGGGCAAACCAAACTGCTTTGATAAGAGTAGATGGAGAGCCCAAAGTCAGTGGCCTTGAGTGGGGCTTCCTCGGCGGTGCTGGCAAAGAGAGAGTTCTCCGACTTGAGGTCCCGGTGCATGACGCCGAGCGAGTGGCATCCCTCCACGACCCCGACAATGGTCTTGATGAGCTTCGCCGCCGCGCGCTCGCCGTAGTGTCCCTTGGAGACGATGCGGTCGAAGAGCTCGCCGCCAGCGCAGAGCTCCATGACGATGTGCACGAAGAGCACGTCCTCATAGACGCCGCGGATGCGGACGACGTTGGGGTGCTCGGAGAGGTGGTGCATGATCCGGATCTCGCGGTACACGTCCTCGTAGTCCTCCCGGCACAGCAGCTTGCGCTTGGGGATGGACTTGCACGCGTACTTTCGGCCCGTCGGGCTTGCTTGCCCACGACTTGGTACGTGGTGCCGAACTGCCCCTGCCGAGCTTCTTGCCGTCGCGGTAGTGGTCCCACACGTTCTCCGTCTTGTCTGGCAGAAGCCGACGGACGCCGCCCGCCCGACGACGGTCTTGACGACGCCATCATCCATCATGGCGTGGGCGCTTTTCAGATTCGCATTGCGGCGTCCCCCCGCTGGTCCCATTTGCATTAAGCGCGCCGTGTGTGAGCTCCCGGATCAAGAACCGCACGGAGGCCGCCGCTGCAGGAAACAGAAGCCTGTTCTTGGACAAGAAACCGGAAAACCCAAATAAAAGTGGTGTTCGCTGGTCTGGAGGAAACCAGCCAACCGGCTGGTTCCCCTCACGTGGCATTGTTCATCCATTCAGCCAAATAGGATTTTTCTCTCACAACAAACCAGCCGGAACAATGTTTTTCAGCCAAGTTTCAGACCAGCGAACGGGGCCAAAAAGTGAGAAATTTGGGGACACGGCGATGACGAACCGGTCAAACGGGAAGAGAAATCCACCTCTCGCTACAAATTTCTGCAACTCCACCAAGGATTCCCGCGGGCTGGCAGGAGACAGAAGAACAGAGGGAAGATCTTGCAACTTAACTTGCCGAAAAATGCTTAAAAATATAGCAAAAAAAGATTCAGCGCTGGGTTCAAACCTAGGTCTTTGAGCTAAGTCATGCGCGTTCTAACCAGCTGAACCACAATGGCGTTGTTACATGTTTCTCGGAACAATTATACTTGTTTCATTTCAAACGCCAAGATCTATAGGGTAACAGTTCGACGCCAAGATCTATGACACCGATGCATTGTCCATGTCGACGCCAGGTCACCGCCACGTCCGTCCGCCTCGCCAAGACCTCGACGTCATTGGTCATAGCGCCGAGACGTATTTTCTCGACGCCAAAAGTCATCGCGCCAATGTCAGGATCCATAAACGGAAATCAAACCACTAGAGTTTGTTCGTGAATATTTTTTTTTAAAAAGCTGAAAAATAAAAAATTCGGCGAGCTGTGTGACTCTGAAGCTCCCGCCTGCCTCTCCGTCTGCGTCCACGGCGCGTCATAAAATCCCCCCTTCCCGAGCCCCGACCTAGCACCTAACCCCGCCATCCGCCCATTCCAGTCCCCAATCCGACTGGTGCACGAGCCCCGAATCCACCGTCGCATTTGCTGGCGGTCTCCAGCTCCCGCTACCCTTTCCGTTTCAGAGAGGGGTCTACTCTAGGCACCTGTATTTAGATCCGCCCCTGCCTTGCGGTAGTGGGGGAGCCGATTTAGGTGAACAAGCATCTTGATTTTTTGACCAATCTTTGCTCTACCCACCTTGCGGTCTTCGCCTTTAAATCGTCTGGAGGTGGGAAGACGGACGAGGCAAAGCCGAAAGCAAGAACGGTCGTTTCAAGTATCCAGCTGCCGGCGTCCGAAGGTGAGATTGCTGTGCCCCGTTCTGTTCTAAAGCTTGAATCTTTTTTGGCGTCTTGTGGGCTGTGGCCTTGCCGTGTTTGTTCTTGAGCTCCTTGAAGCCCTCTGGGTTTATTGGGGGCGAAATATCCGATGTTTGTGCTACTCAAGGTGTCGGATAATGGATTTGTGGTGTATGGTGATTGTTGAGCTGGGGTTCGGGGTTTCTTACCTGGATTTTGGGCAAAGAATCCCAATAATCAAGTTAAAATTATTGCGCGCTGCCCTACCCTTCAAAACTGGTGTATTTTAATTTTTATTTGATATATAATCGTGTGTTATTATAGGAGCAGAGATTAGGTGGTTTCGATGTTGGCCGTCGGGAGATTTGAGTTTTCATCTCATTAGGCCTATTTCACGTTCAAGAATGGCGTTTTCTGTGATTTAGGTAATTCGTTGGAGGCCATGCGTCCTTTTCTTCAATTGACTGGTGGATTTTTGCTCGTTGGTTAGGATGCTTTGGCCTTAAATTAAGCTACTTGGATGTAGAAATGTAGCCGCGCGCTTGCTCTTGTTCCGTTTTCAGTTATCCTAGGCAAGTCAGTAAGTCACCCTAGATATTTGTATCCTACACAACTACACAGTCTACACATAACTTCAATAGATGTACCTTGTTTAGATCGCCTCAAAATTCCAAGTTTTTTCACTCTCTCTCCATCACATCAATTTTTGGACGTATGCATGGAGCATTAAATGTAGGTAAAAAAATAACTAATTACACAGTTTGGTTGTAAATCACGAGACGAATCTTTTGAGCCTAGTTAGTCCATTATCGGACAAAGTTTGTCAAATACAAACGAAACGTGCTATAGTGTCCAGATTGCAAAAATTTGCAATCTAAACAAGGCCCTAGTAGAGACGTTGCAAGTGTTGGAGGTAGCTCAGAAATCAAATGCATAGTTTGTATTTATATGATTGGTGGGATTGCTACACCTGAGGAATCTTCTTTTTTTTTTGGTTCCCCCTGTATGGCTTGCACAAGTAAATTGAAGTAAATGAAATTAGTACTATAGTGTTCTTTCAAGTACTTCATTGTTTCCCTTACCCTTTGTGAACTATATCTACAAGGATGCTTATATGTTGGTGACGTTTTATTTCAGGAACCAGCAAGTGTTCCAGTGGAGGTATTGGGAGTGGTGGAAAAAAAAAGGATTGTAGAGGTTGTTTTACCTCGTTTTCCTAGCAATGTTGAGGCAGAGCTCTAGTAGAAATCAGAGATCCAAAGGTCTGAAGCTGAAGAAAGCTCTTCAGATCAGTCTCCTGCTTCTGGTTTCTGTTTGGTTGCTCTACCAAGTTGAGCATTCTTATGAGAAGAAGGCATATAGTGAAGATGAAGTGAGTGATTTGCATAAAGATGACAAAGACCAGCCAGAGGCAGTCAGATTAGGCAGGAAGGATCTGCCACCAAAGATGGAGGCTGATTCTTCAACATTGGATGAACGGGTTGAGGATGAAGAGAATTATGAAATGGAGCAAGAAATGAAGCATGATGAGAACGATGAGGATCCCATCGATGAGCAGGACCTGGAGAAGGATGAGGATCTTCCTGAGCCTGGTGAGCATTCTTCTGAGAAGGATGGAGATGTGGGTGTGTTTGAGGATGAAGAGCGGAAGGAGCGGTCACAGGAGGATCAAGAGAAGAGCTTCCATGGTGACAATGTTTCTAGTGCTGTTACTCATGACCCTCCATCGTCTGAGCAAGATGAGCTGTTCCACCATGCCCAAGAGAAGGTCTTATTCGTGGATGATGCTTCAACTGCAGTGCCTAACGAAAATCATGAGGCTGGAAGCAAGGAGGAGGAAGTGCGCAGGGCTAGGGAAAGGAGTTTCAGAGGTGATGATGTGTCAAGCTCTGTGGATCATGATGCCAAGGTGGCAAAACCTCTCCCAGAGGAACAATTGAACAGCATGGATAGGATATTTGAAGGCACCACAAATTTATCTAATGGAATTTCATTTCGAGCTCCTGGAATAAATGGATCATATGCCACCGTGGACAATGCGGCTACACCAACTAATTCATCTTCCCAGAAAAACTCAGACATTCCTAGCAATGACATAGAAAGCAAGACCCATCCATCTCCAGCAAATTTGACCAGCAACCCTGATCAAACTAATTCAACTTTGAAAGGTCATCCAGATCAACAAGTGAATTCAACGGCAGTGCTTGGCAACCAAATACAGCCTTTGACTAACCGCACGTCGCTTGAGTTGGATTCTCCTCCAAATGGCACCTTGGCTCTGGTAACAGATGTCCAAAAGTCCACATCTGGAGCTGGAGATGATGGCAGCAGCAACACCTCATCCTCCACCCCTGTGGACAAGAAGACGGACGGTGGAGATGATCCTAAAGAAGACGTGGATGTGTCCACAAAAATAATGAACAGGGCAATGAGTGAAGATGAAGTTGTTCCAGAGTGATAAGGAGATCTCTCGTCAGCTTCTGGTGTAACCTGTAAGTTTGTAGGACTTGGTTTATCTCCTAGACTTGGAGATGCAATGCAAGCAGGCTATCTTGTTGCGACCCTTTTTGTATAAGTTTGATAGATGTCTGTTTTGTATTGCCTAATTAGTAGCCCATCATAATGATCTGGGTCAAGTGAAGAACAAGAAGCATGTACCCACAAAGAAATATAGCGATTCTGCAGCTCTGAAGCTTTGCTGCTGGAATCAAATGCCAACTAGGCAGCTATGAATGAAATGTCCATCGCAGCCCACCTTTGTGCACTTTTCAAGTTTAAAGCCAATGTGTTGCGAGGTTTACATGGAACATTGGGTGCTTCGGACACCATAGTTCCACCATTTTCTCTCTGGTGAAGCCTAAGCTTGAATTGTACTCATGGATGTTTGCAGCTCCACGGACTTAACCAGAGGTCATGATCATCTACTTATATGAGATATCGTGCTGGATCCAATCTCCAAGAGCGGGAGTACGAACCAAACCAATTATCATGCTGTTTGCTGCAATGCTTGTTCTCCCCTTCGAAACTGTTAATAATATCAATTTGTTTCCTTTCCCCAAAATGTCTTCTGAAATCACGGAGTTGGCAAATTGTAGTACTACAGCCCAAAGTTATGTGATGGGACGTAATGTTAGAGATACGTAGGGGGTGTTTGGTTCTTTAGTCGCTCCTAAAATTTATATTACATATAAGGAACATAAAATATAGATTAATTATAAAACCAATTACATAGATATAGACTAATTTACGAGACGAATTTTCTAAGTCTAATTAATCCATCATTAGCATATATTTACTGTAGTACCACGATGCCAAATCATGGACTAATAGGACTTAAAAGATTCGTCTTGTAAATTAGTCATAAGTTGTGTAATTAGTTTTGTAATTAGCTTATATTTAATACTTCATACATGTGTCTAAACATTCGATGTGACAGAAATTTTAACAAACAAGCCCTCAGTACAATGTACTAGTAGGTTGTATCGTGTGGTCCTGTCCACTTTGAAGATTCATTCAGACATGTGAGATCATTCAAAGCGACGGCTGCTGAAACCTGAACGTTAGAAACTCTCTGGTCCCGTGTACTTCTTTTATAATCCGTCTTTTTCAGTTTGTTATTTAGTCGAAATAGTTTTTTCTCTCACAACAAATTAGCGAGAACAGTATTTCGATTTATTTTTTTAGCGAAGCAAACGGAGTTTATCTTGATTTCAGCGCAGTCAATACTCAATACCACACGACCATGAGTCCGTGACCATACGCTGCCTCGACTGAAATACAGAAACTAAGGCCTCGTTGGCATGATGGCATAGCGGCTCTAAGAGCAAGTATAATAATTGGCTAAATACTGAGGTGGAGCAGAGAGGAGAGGAGAGATGAAAAACGCAGCCCGTTTAGACACGTGAGCTATGTATTAATAGTGTAGACCTTACTATTATATAGGTGGGTTGGGAGAAGGCTGCAAGGAACCTTACAGCCACCAGCCGGTTGTAACTATTAGCCTTGCTCTAACAGGCTATCACAACAGTAATAGGACTATAAGAATCGTTTCTCAAGATGACAACAATCATACATGATGAAATATATACACGCTAAGAGTGTAGATAACAAGCAAATAATCATTTATTTTACAACATAAACGAAAGTTAAAAACTAAAAAAGCATTAAATGTTACAAAGAAAATTGGACAAAAATTTATTAGCCGTAGGTCTCCAACCTCCACCACCGACTCTAATTCTTAGGCCAAAAAAGAATCATAGTAATAATACAAATAAAGGAGATGAGATGAGAAGATAAAAGGAAGACTAATCCTAAATAAAATAGATGTTGGAGATAAATATAGAGGGAGAATAAACGAGCAAAATACTAATTATATTTATTAACTAGCTAATTTGGGGTGTACTATAGAGACCATCCGGTAGTTAATAAAAGGACTAATCCTAGATTATATAGATACTATTAAATTAAATATTAATATGGTAAAAGAACAAGCAATGAATACACTAATTACTATAGTTAATTAGTAATAAATTATTAGAGATTAACTAGCTAATAGAGGATACTGCTGGAGGCACTGGACTATTGGCGGTACCCCCACCCCCACCCCTCTCCCTCTGACATTGACCAGGAGTCGTAGCTTGACTAGCTTTGGCTCCTCTATCAAACGAGCTCTAAATGATCAAAAAAAAAAAACATCTACGAGAGATGATATAAAACTAGATGTGTTGGCTTTGACATAGACTACCTAACAAGCAAGAGTATCAACAACTTGGTGTATTGACCTGAATGTACAAATAGAAGCGAGCACTGACAGGCAGTTTATAAATTTTTTCTTTCAATTTTATTTTATGGGCATGTTTGATTGATCTTTGCCACAACTAAGACTACCCGGTGTACGATGCTTGAAGCAGAGAGTATACCTGGCCATGCAACCCGTGGGCCCGTGGCCCGGCCCACATCGGAACGGGCGGTGGCCATCATCGGGCCCGGCCACCCGAAGGACCGGGGCGTGCACGGCCCGCCCGCCACCTAGGCCCTTGGCACGGCATGCATGGGCACGGCTCGGTAAAGAGGCGGCCCGTGGCCCGCCCCCGCCCACAAGCCTCCCGCGGCAGAGTATATATCTTGCCCCCGCCTCCCCCCCCTCCCTAATCCTAATCCCACTCCTCCCGCCGCGATCGTAATCGTCTCGTCTTGCTCGCTCTCGATCCGCCGCCTGGAGCTCGCCGGCCCTGCTCTACCCCCCCCGGCCCCCATCCCTAACCCTAATCCCACTCCACTCCCCGCCGCTCATGATCGCGATCGTCTCGTCTCGCTCGCTCTCGATCCGTCGCCTCGATCCGCCGCCGCCGCCTTGAGCTGGCCAGCCTGCGCCCGGTGACCTCGTTCGCCGCTCGTCCACCTCGACCTGAGTTCGCTAACCATCTCCTCCTCCTTTCCCTTCCTATCCCTCTTCCCCCCCTCCTCCGGTGTACCATGTGAGTTCGTCAGTGCTGTCGTCCTTCCGCCCGCTTTCGCCGCGTCGTTGTAACTATTGTCTCTCTCTCCTCCTCGGCTGCCTCCTGGCCTCTTCTTGACCTTTGGGCTCCGGTGGGCTGAGTTAGGATTGTGTCTGTCCATCTTTCACTCACTCACTGACTCACCCATGTTCTTCTGTTCTGTCCTCTGTTCTTCGTAGGTTGGTGGTGCCTGACGCCGCGTCTTCCTCCTCTGGATTGCACAAAACAGCTCCTTTTGATCATCATTTTCATATAACCTTGTCTCTTTGTCTTTTCTCTTGTGTTGTGATTTGTGATTGTGTGGTACTGTGGTGAATGTGAATGTGAATCTGTGAGCTTTTGTGAAAATGGTGATGAAAATGATGGAATCTTGTTCAAAACTGGTGAAAATGAAGAAGTGGTTCAAACACTTGGTGAAAATCTGGTGAAAATGAGATGTTTTTTGGTTGTCAGGCTATGGGCCGGCACGGAACGGGAAAAATAGCCGTGCCCAACGGGCGGCACGACACGGTCAAACGGCCCATGGGCCGTGCCATGGCTGGGCCGAGGCGTGCACGGCCCGTGGAGGCATGGCACAGCGAGCAGCGACGACTACACGTCGAGGCAAGACCCCATCGGGCCGGCCGCAGTAGACGTCGCGTGCCGTGCCGACGGCCACGGCCCGTTGGCCATCTATAGCAGAGAGAGTAGGAGAGAGAATGTTTCAGAGAGATTAGGCATTGATGCATGCCATTGTAGAGGTCAGTGCTGGAGAAAAAACACTATCCTCGAAGCTTGTTCATTCCTCAGTGCCGAACGAATAAAAAATGCTTTTCTAACTGGTTTGAGCATTGGTACAATGTGGCCAATATAAGTTAGTCAAAGTTTAGCAGCCAAAAAAAGTGCGACCATTAATCGAGTGCCACATTTGTGGCAAAATTTGGCATCAATTAGTCTATATGCCATGTGGGTAGGGGCAAAGCTATAGTAAAATGGATAAGGATACAAAATATTTTGGCTGTATAGCCGTTAGCTATAATATATGGCGAAAAATTAAAGATGATAGTCACACCGTAAAAGAGCGAGTTTTTTAGGGCTATCCTCTTTCATAGCCGTTTGATTTTGACACCGTTTCATATCAGCCTTCCGTCTTTCAAGATCTTATTTTCCCTCATTAATAACCGTTCGATCTAAACGCCGTGACATATGATCCTTCCATTATCCGAGATCTTACATTAGCCGACACCCCCACTCAAATCCCTCTCGGAGTCTCGGTCTCGTACGCCTACGCAATGCAGTTCGACTCCCCCTCAGTCACAGTGCGGCAATGTCACAATGCGGCAACACGTCAGCAAAAAGGAATCTCGGTCACGTACACCTGCGCAATGCAAGATTTTTGAGTAACCTGAGTAGGAATCTAATCCAAATAGTTAACTTTTTCCATGTCCATTACAATTTTCGTTTGTTTTTTTTCCTTATTCACATTTCTGTTCAACAATAACAAAAAAAAATGCACACAAACGGATCAAAGGAGAACAGGAGCCCGCGGTTTTCCGAATTGCATGATTAAAGAGGTTTTCGCGCTTCAATAACTAGAACTCTTTTATTTATGTTAAAAAAAATACAAAGGTCCATCAACAATAATTTTTTTCAACAAAAAATACACGAAGAATTTGGAGAAAGAGCCAAGGGTTAAAACACCCATAATGGCATGTTTATTCATTTTTGGTTTATTTGTTATAAAAAACCAAAAACTACCTGAGTGGATAAACATGCACACACGGCCAGGAAAAAAATGAAAACACCATACCATTTTCTCGTCATTGTTTCCTATAAATATTTGATAGATTTTTTCTCCCGTTGTAACGCACGGGCTGAACGGATCGGACTTGTTTTGACCGGAGCATGTCCACGCTCACCGGCCTTCGGCGGTGAGGGCGAGGGTCGTCCCACCTGAAAGTGGGTTTGGGCTGTTCCGAAGCCAGGCTTCTTTGTCAATGGGCTCATTGGGCTGTGTAGCTTAGGTTAACATTTTAATTATTTTATTATTATTTGGTGAAAGCTTCAAACAAAAAAAAAACTAAACACATGAATAAAATGTTTGCACTGCACGAAATAAATAAAAATAATATAACCCGTAAACTAGGCTCTTAATAAACGATCCGTTTTGATCAAATTACTGCAAACATGACACAAAAAGGGGAAAGCAAAGCATGAAATACGAAAGGCGCACTGCCAGTGACCACAAGTGTCTTAGGGCACACGCGACAAATAATGTATTACAAAAAAAGTGAAAAACAAAAATCTAAACATGTTTGTAAGAAATGATGAAAAAAAAACATTTACATGTACTTTATCCTGAACTTTATGTGGACAAAAAGGAAAAAAATAAAGTTACGCTGTTTACGGGCCAAAAAAAAAAAAACATAAAGTTATGTTTAGATGGACCTGCTAAATAAATTAATACTACATTATTTAAGTCATAATTCTTTTGCATCTAAAGATGCTTGTTTATTTATATCACATTAATTTATATCTGTTCATTTAGGCACAATCTTATTACATCATTAATAAAGTCATAATCCCTCACATTGATTGTACGTGTCTATAGTAAACGTTAGGTAGCCAGGTACGGAAAGGATAACGGTTGAAAACATATAAGTAGTCAAGATGAGTGCTTTCTTCTCCGACCTCCCTAGAGCCTCCGGTAGCACAATTGAGATTACGACGGGTTCTCCAACCATACAAGGATGGGGTCTCCACCCATACGAGGATAGATCGACAGAAGTATGGAAATATGGTAAGATAGGGATAACACGAGCCGTTTAAAAATGTGTAAGTCAAAGTGCATCGATATATGTAGCTAAGGCATCCTAACGAACAAACAATTTGAACATGTTCTACACGACCCAATCAAATCGATCAATCACTTGTCATCTATCTTTATTGTATATCGACAATTCAATTAACATTTGCATTGCATTTGAAATAGTTCTTAGAAACAAGTTAAAGTGTCGCACGTGCATATTTGCTAGTTAATTTAAACCTGATTGTGGCCACGGTTGTAACGGACTGACATATATAAGTCCCTATAAGTACGGCATATACTGTTAAGGAAGTTTGGCACGCTCTACAATTGTAACGTGAACAAAATATATGCTTAAAAAATTGTGGCACACTAGCACATCTAATTTATGGCGTGACAAGGTGTGGACACTACGAAGTAGGAACTGCTTGGTTTCTGGCGTAGTGTCGCAACCCAAACAGACATTGTTGCTTGCTATCCCTCGGCAAGGCGTAACAGTCTTCAGCCTCATTCAAGCAGTCCGTAACTAAACAGTGGTTCCCTGGACACCACCCCCACATCGGCTCTTCGTCAAGCAGTGTTCCAGGTTCGCCATTTCCGGGCTCCCCCCCACCACTTTGTCGACGTCTGCGTTTTGGTTGCTGAGAGCTCGGCCGCCTTCCCCGGAACTTCGTCGTCCTCTTGGTCTTCTATGTTCTGGCGTTTCGATCTCAAAACATCAGTCCTCGCTGAAAATGCTACTCCACGAAGGAGACAGAAGCCCACCCTGACACCTCTGGGCCTCAAAGCGAAGCCACTCCGGCCCGGCGTCTCACAGCCTCTATGAAGGATGGAGCGTCACCCATGCTACTCATCACCTCCGCCATCGTCAATCTTTAGGACTGTTCATAATTAACTCTTTTCCAAGGGTTTGTAACGCAGTGGTCTACACACTACATATGTCATGGTTTCGATCCATCACATTTAGGTCCAAAATAGCAACTTCTCTCAAACACTGCAGAGCTACAGACGATTCAAATTCTACGTGCAGATATCACGGATCGACACGGCTTGAAACGCACTCGGCTCTGCACAAACAGAATGGAAATTGACTGATATTTACAATGTTCCATGCAACAAATACTTGCACTTTTGCAGGCTAGCCTGGAGCCAGCCCAAGAATGAACGACAAATACTTGCTGGTCAGCCAGGAGCTGACGCAGACGTGACAAAAACCTGCACCAACACATGCATGACACGACGAAATCTCGCCCACTTCCACAAATCCAAAGACATGATCTGCCGGTTAGCCAGGAGCTAACACGAGCTGAATTCACTAAAGCGACTCTGTCGGGCAAGATGCGCGCGGGTTAGCGAGGAGCTAACCTGTGCACACACTTGGCGACTTTATTGTTCTAGATTTTGAGGGAGATAAGGTCAATTAGGCATTGGCCTGGATTCTCCCGGACGGATCGACAGTCTGATGGTGTGACTGGGTTACTCGCAGAAGTCGAGGAACCCCATGTATTCGTGGTTGTTAATCATTGAAATGCTCTTCTGGGTGCCAACGACACCTGAAATCCACCAAAACAACAGGTCTTAGAAAACAAGTTAAAAATCAAACCAGCTTAGTTTAGACGAAACAAGTAAAAGAAATAGTATAAGATTCTTGAAGCTTATTTTTCCCCAAGGATGCATGTTATAATTGCAAAAGGAATTTAAGTAACACTAATACTTTTTTTTGGAACAATAACACTAATATTTTTAGTCGAATTCAACTTGGACAGGTATGAGGTTAGCAATTCGTCAAGTTAAAGCAAAGTTGCAAGTCAATGAGTTGTCAATAGATCCATACCCATCGTAAGAGCACTGGTGAAGATAACAGAGGAGAGGATGAAGACAATAACTGATGCTCTCTTGAGCACATGCACGATCTTCCTAACCAAACACTGGCCCCAGAATCCAGCCAATATGGAAATGAAAATGAGGTAGCCAGCTGCAGATAGAGAAACAGTGTGTGTCATTACTAATACAACAATCACATTTTTGAAACTGTTTAGAGATTTCTAACATGGATTTACCAAAAGGGAGGGGGAATCTGTGCAGGAAGTAAAACTCCACCACAGAGAGGGAGGAGGAGAACATCATCACGAATGTTGCTGTTGCACTTGCGACCTGCCAGACAATTCAACGTGTTCTTAGCATTATTTGCCAATGAAAGAAGTGTATGGACGCAAAGATAACATAGAGTTGTGACATCACGGTTCTTATAAAATTACATATTAGACAGAGCTATAACGTGTGAATTAGGACACTTCAATGTATTACCACTGACAAATCAACTGGGCTTTTATCAGACTGAGCAAACTCTCACACAGTAAATGCACAGTTTGCTCAAGTTACACGATGCAAGAAAGGTATTCGTTCCAAAATCTTGGATTGCCCAATGGAAAAGAAAATACTAATTGGCCCATTAAGCATTTGAAAATTGTAGAGATAACTATACTGCTACTCTATATTGTGCATTCACTATCCAGGTTCTGACCATTGTACATTGCATTCAACATCCAAACACTACTATATGAATGAGAATTTGGATGCAGCTGTGTTAGAAAAAAAAAAAGATAGCACCAGAAATAACCGATTCAGTCATTCACACCAGTCTTCCGTAAAGGCGTAACATGTAGCCACCAAGCCATGTAGGCCAGCAAACTATAAAAGATCACATGGGGTTTAATACCAAGTCCTAGCTAGCTGACCCCAGGAAGAATAGCAGATGCGACCTGCTCCCTTTCTTTTCTGATGATCTATTGAATCAGGCAAATTATAGGGGGTGCGTTGTAGGCCATGCCAGAGAGTTGGGCAAATTTATCATTATACCAAAGGGCATTTTGCATTCCAACGACAACAACAGCCAACAGGAGAGCTTCCTGGATTATATTCAAGATGATATGGGGACAGAACCAGATGGGTTTTCATTAAAAAAAAATTATCAAGGGCTACAATAACATTGAAAGAGACTATACTTGATGGCCTGATTGTAACACTCACAGAACAAACCTAGGCATAGATCCAAGAATCCAAATTATAGTCCAATCTGTTATGTCAGTACGGTGCACCTAATGCATGTCTTAGATCAGCATCTTACACTTGAAAACACTATTTACTACTGTGTAATCCAATTGATGAGTCAACGATCCTGTGACTAGGTAACCAATAATTTATGACAGACAGTATAAAATAATGATATATATCTTATGTCTATGATTAGCTTAGTTTATGATGGCAGGATGCTTCTTAGAATAAAAGGTTACAATTGTGGTAAAAAAAATCAGCAAAAACTTAACATTTTAGACACTACTGCATGAAAGTGGCAGCCACAACTGGAAAAGGTTAAAATCCCCAAAATCCCGATGCAATATCAGAAGTAATCTATTTAGCCAAACAAAAAAGGGATTTACTGTAAATGCTACAATTATTTTTGTTGATTCTAAGCTTATACCACATTTACCAAATTAACAGATTAGAATACGCTCAAGATTGGCTATTCAATTTAAATATTGCAAATATGTTTTTGCTCATGTCCCAAGTGGAGAAAGCGCTTAAGTAGCAAAGCTGTATCTGGATTGATCTTTTCAGTACAGTTGATTTCATACCTACCAAAACATACAGTTCTGCTTGATAGCATTTGAAAATGAACTGCAAAAATAGCATGGAATCAAGGCAACTTAAATACCTGTGGTATGCACCCAAGCTCAAGAAGAAGTGGGCCGAGGATGAACCCACCACCAGATCCAAGAAGGCCACCAACAGTCCCACCGAGAAGGCCACAAAAGGCACAGAAGATCAGTTGTGCTGGTGACCACTCAATAGAGGCCTCACACACACATTCCAGGTTCCCATTCATACGCCGTGCATGACTCTCCCTACATAGCTGCACGGCCTCCCACAAGAATACACTCAACGCAACTGGAACCTAAAATAATTTAGCAGAATGTTAAAAAGTATCAATGATAAGGATTTCATGTCTGATTAATGTGATGTATAACAGAATCAACACCCAGCTTTCAGTTTGCAACAAATTAAAGGCTAATGCTCAATGGAGAGTTGAGATATGCTCAAAAGGTGGCTGATGGATATGCCAAAACTCTAGGCCTAACGTGGCTTATGTTTTAAAAAGATGATTGCCCAAACGCAACAGAACAAATGGTTACTATTGCAACTGGAAAGACAGCCTGGCAGGCAGACATAATGTAAGTTTAAACAAAATAGAAGCACAAAGCTGAGCTAATCATTACCTGTAGAACGTTGAACACCCAGTAGAAAGTGCTGCATGATTTCGCATTATTCTGCAAGTATTCGAAAACTTATGGCAGTTAATAACAATTTCCATCTAAAGGAGACAAAGGAGAAGAAAGACCACTGAAAGGTCTTGTATGCACATGTGTGCTAGAATAACTTAGGTTTGGACAGTCAACATAGGTAACTGATCCCAAAGTGATTGTACTTGTATGGGGAAAATGAGGTCATTATCCTTCAGAGGCATCAATCATTGCTATGAAGATGGACTGTATTTAAATAGGAATTATAAAAAATAGTTCAACGTAGAAGGGAGACCTTGAGAACTTGCAGCACCAAGAAGGATGACCAGACAGACATTAAAACAAGGATATTCTTCCACCTCAAATTGAACAGGAAAGTCTCCTGAAATAAAAAAGGGGGGCAAAATCCAGTGATTAGATGACATGTGACACTGTCTTTTGTTTCTTCTTGCTTTCTTGCATGTTCAGAGCATTTATTAGTGTCACCCTAGGCCCTAACTATGTTAATATATACACGAAGAATCATTGAATAGATATGAATAATATATGTCAACCAATCATGGCAAAGTTGCAAAGGTGGATCTGAAAGCACATTCATAATATATGATTACGTTAAGAACCACAATTGCTTAGGAAGCCACGAATGTCAGTGATAGGTATTTGTAGTGGTTGTAGCTTACCAATGCAGACTTCTTCTTGGGCTGAGGCTGAGTCAGGAGGGGCTCCTCATAACTCGGATCAATTACCACTGCAACAAGTTCATATTTGACCACAACATGTTACTCCATAATATGAATATCAGTTCAAAGTACAGCCGTACAAGTAACTGATGCCAATCGCTATCAACAAAGATGCCAAAGTATCATGCAATGATGTACTAGTTCTCACCATCACCTGCAGCGCAGGTAGACTTGGATTGCTCTTCTCGCTCGCGTGTCTCCATCTGCAATCATTCAACATAGAGGGTAAACAAAAGGAGATGTGAGTATACAGTAATTTAACAGCAGACATCTGAAATGTGACAGGAACCAACCAGAATCCTGGTCTCCTCCCTCCACATCAGAATTCCCTTGTAGAACGATCTCGACGAAGTGCCTGCAATGAATCGGTCACACGAGCACAGGCTTCCATCTCAGCGACTACACGGTACACAGGACAGATAAAAGTAGCAGGGCCGCACATAACAGTAGCCTACAGGCTTACAGCGGCAAGCTAAAGGCAAGCGATGATTACCTACGAAGAGGATTATGATGAGGACAGTGATTAGCCAGTACGGGAAGATGACGCTGAGCTCTACGCCGATGGTTATGCCGAGCATAAGCATGGGCTGGAAGAGCAGCGCGAGCTTGTAGTCGATGACGGGCGCCTCCTTGGTCGGGTGTGACACCTGGAGGTTGTACCAAACCGACGACGCCGAGGCCCCCATGATCATGCCTGCGCCCAAACCGAACCAGGCGAGCACGCACGCGTGTCAGGGAGTAAATCGGCAGATGCATGCATCGGCAAAAGGCCATTACTAGCTTACATTTGGAGAGCGCGGCGGCGGATTTGGTGTCGAAACCGACGACGAGGTTGAGCATGGGCACGAAGATCCCGCCTCCGCCGACACCGCCGACGGTGCCAAACGCGGAACCGAGGAACCCGACAACGGTGGCGACCACTACCCGCCAGTTGAACGCGAGGTCCTGCGAGGGAGAAAAAAAAACACCATCCCGATCCGCGACGTGAGCACAGCGTCAGGTACGCAGAGAGAGCATACGAACCGCGAGCAGGAGAGGAGGCAAAAGAGCGAACAGCTTACGGGCCAGACGCGCGGCGAGCGCGAGGACAGGCGGAGGCGCGCGCCATCGTTGCGCGCCGCAGATGCCGGCGGCGGGTCCGCGGCGGAGAGGACGAAGCAGGCGAGGACGGCCGCGCAGGCGGCCCCGGCAGCGACGTAGGCGAGGAACCCCCGCGTGCTGCTCCTGTTGAGGCGGCCGTAGAGTGAGCCTGTGCGCCCCTCCATCACCATGCAGGCAGCGGCAGCAGCAGCAGAATGCTAGTTACGCCCACAAGTAGACGAAATGCGGGGTAGGAGAAGACCAAGGAAGGAGGAGAGAAGCGCCCGCCTCCGCCTAACTCTTTTATAGGCGGCGGCCGGCCAGGAGGAGGGTAGCCAGACAGGCGGGCGAGGCGGGTGCGGGTGAGAATACGAGATCGATCGCGGTCCGTGGGTGTGGTACTACAAGATCTGGATAGGGCGAACGAGAGCCAGACGGGGAAGCGGAGGCGTGTTTCGATTTTGGCATCGCCCCGCAACCGCAGCGTCGAGCGAAGCGAGTCATGTGATGTGGGACCGAACGGGGTTTTTTTTATATGGAATGATGGGAAGAGGGTTGGCAACCGGCCCCGGCGCAGTAATGGCCCTGCTCGCCCGCTTGTCTGGCAGCAGCCAATCAACCAACCGGTCAGTAGATAGTCGCATGTGGATCTTTAAAAAATCACAGCACGGTGATTTCGCACGTGTAATTGCCATTATCCTTTCCGGCAAGAGTTTAACTGCGAGTAATTTCGTGCCTGCATCGCAGCCGCATGTCTCGTTATCGCTTTGTGTCGTTCGTTGTGGAAACGGTCACACGTCGAGTGCCAGATCCAGATGACATGCGCATCCCTGAGCCCTGCCCCATGTTCCGCCGCGCTCGGGCGAAACCTACGATTCGGTTTGATTTCTTCCTCTTTTTTATTCATCAAGTTTGATTTCTTTCTAGAATTGTGCTAAGTCAATAGGCAAGCGACGTCAAGATCAGATTGCTAGGATCCCGATAGTCTGAAAGAAATATCAGGCATTGATGATGCACGGACAACCACAAAACAAACAATACAATCACCCGTTTGGAAAATGGACATATCAGCACTTTCGTTTGTATTTGGCAAAAATTATCCAATTATAGACTATTTAGGTTTAAAAGATTCGTCTCACCAATTACGGGTAAACTGTGCAATTAGTTATTCTTTTTACATATATTTAATACTCCATGCATGTGCCATAAAATTCGATGTGACGGGAAATCTTGAAAATTTTTGGATTTTGAGTGGGATCTAAACAGGGCCTCACATCCTCGCCCCAACTAAAATAAAAGTCCCCGTGTTTGCGTCGTGCACTTTTTAATTATGAGTCAAAGAATGTATAAATATATTTTATCGGATCTAATATTTCTTTAGTATGATAAACATCAATATATTTTTATATAAATTTAATCAAAGTTTGAATCATTTATTTTAATACTCGTGATCCAAAAAAATACATTTGTCAGAGGTTATGCAGGAAGAAATCACATGATCCAAAAAAAAAGAATTATCGTCATAGGTGACGTCGATCCGATCCGTCCCTCCAAACATTTGTTTGCCACACGAAGAAAAAGCTCGTCGGTAAATGATTGTAGGCGAGCGACAGGGATTGAATGAATATAGGTCGCGTGTTATTATTGTCGTGCTAACGTCGTACGCCTCCCACGCTGATGCTCCACGAGCAAATAAATAAATGATGATTGGCCTGGCTAAAATTTACCCTATATAACGTTCTGTCACGAATCATGCTGTAAGCTGAAGTACTCGTAGGGCCTGCTAATAAGTTTCTTCCCTGAGGACTGTGACGTCTTATCGAGCGAGGATAGCAAGCGATAGTGTCTCTATTTAGTTCTTTGAATTTGGCACTTCGGTGACTACACGAGCAGGATTTTAGCTTGCTCCCATGAAAGAGCCAAATTGGCTCGGCTGCCTGGCCGAACGCCTCATTGCTCACGCCGACGCAGCAAGGCCCACACACTCTCTTGCTACCTCTATCCACACAAAAAATGCAATTCTCAGATTTCGAGATGCCAAATAATTTTAAATTTGACTAAATTTATATAAAAAGTATAAACATTTATGATATAAAATAAGTATCATTAGATTGCTTATAAAGTATATTTTTATATCAAATTTATTTGGGACATAAATATTAATATTATTTACTATAAATTTAGTTAAACTTGAGTTCGATTGATCAGCACGGATACCATAATTGCATTGTTATGTGAAGTGGACAGAGGGGATTCTTTATCGACAGTCAAAAGGGAAGTGCAGCAAGGTGTGATCTCTGACAGGCTGACGTGAAAATTTCTATAGTATGCCAGCTCGCTCAACTACGGGTGCGTTTAGATGCCAATTTTTTTTGGTTTTGGGTACTGTAGTGCGTCTGTTTGTATTTGGCAATTAGTGTTTAATTATGGACTAATTAGATTTGAAAGTTTCGTCTCGCGATTTCTCACCCAACTGTGCAATTAGTTTTTTTGTTTACATTTAGTACTCCATACATATGCCACAAGACTTGATGTGATAGGTACTACACAAAATTTTTTAAATCTAAACACACCCTACATTGTGCAACTACCTGATCCAGTATGGCAGTATCCATCAAGAGGTTTCAAAAATTTCTAGGCCTCGTTTAGTTTCACCGAATCAGCGCCGGCTGAATTCCTGTAGCAATACTGTAGCTACAGTAGCGTTTTGTTTTTATTTGATAATAATTGTCTAATCGTTGACTAGTTAGGCTCAAAACGTTCGTCTCGCAAAGTACAACTAAATTGTACAATTAGTTTTTGATTTCGTCAACATTTATTACTCCATGCATATACCGCAAGTTTGATGTGACGGGGAATCTTTTTTTTTTGCATAGTGTCAAAATTTGGGAATTGGGGTGAACCAAACATCCCCCTAGAGATAATAGTAGTGGTAGCATTTTATCATTATGGATATTCCACGCGAATGGATATCGTCCTCCGTATATTCTATCTTGCGTTGATTTCACACCACCACCACCACCACCCCCACCCCCCGAGGCCTGGACTGATGTCTGGTGCTACCACCACCACTAGCCGAGCAAGCCAGACACCATATTCGATTTCTCCTCTGTAGATCTGTAGACAGCAGTACAGGCTGTCCCGTCCTCCCGTGATCGACGTTGACGCAGCGCCGCCACCGGCCGCCGGCCGGCCCCCGCCGTGCCTGGCACATTACGCCACCCGGTCGACGTGCTTATCCAGCCTATCCACGTCCCGTGTGGCCCGACAGAGTGGAGGGCCGAGCGCCATCTCACCTCACCATCCCCGGCCGTATTCTAGCTTGCTTGCGAATTTAGCCTACAGTTTAAAATTTGTCGTGGCCGTCATGGATCCATGTCCATGATTCCGACCGCAATCGCATCCAGCTCCCCAATCGTCGGTTGGGAAACCAAAGGATACTCTAGCACGTTTTGTTTGTATTTGACAAATTTTGTTCGATCATAGATTAACTAGGCTCAAAAGATTTATCTCGTGATTTACAACCAAACTGTACAATTAGTTATTTTTTTTACCTACATTTAATGCTTCATATATACATCCAAAATTGATATAATGAAAGAGAGTGAAAAAACTTAGAATTTAGAGATCATGTAAACAAGGCCCAAGTCTTCTTCGCTCCAACCTCTGCGCCGGGCCCGGGCCAATCGCATCGCGTCACCTAGACGAGAGCGTTTCAGATGGAATCAAAGATTGATGAGAAGTATGCCTGTCTCTACGCTTGCGTTTGTTGATAGATAGATGACGCGGGTACTTGTAGTAGTTGTTTACTTGTTTCTGGGCTCTCTCGCGCACGACGCACATGTCACATCACATGGGCGCGTGCCGGAGCCGGACCAATTCCTCCAATCCCGAGGGATGTTGGGATTGAAGGAATACCGTAGAAAAATTGTAGGAACCGAGGAAACGAAACTCACGTAAGCGTTTGGAACGGAGGAATCGTCCAAACGGTTCCTCCGGAATACTATAGCTGCCAAGCAATTTCACAGGAACGAAAGAATCCAGTCTGATCCTATTGTTTTGTTTTCCTTCACTGAAGCCCGAGGTAGCATGTGTGAAGTGGAGGGAAAAAAAGAACAGTTAAGGTGAGAACCTATTGTTTTGTTTTCCTTTGCTGAAGCCCAAGGTAGCGTGTGTGAAGTGGAGGGAAAAAAAGAACAGTTAAGGTGAGAAGAACGTGGTGTCCTGGTCTGCTTGGACCATCACTGCCGTCATGGCTCTCTCGTCAGTCTCCTACCATGGCTCCTCGTCGGTTGCTTAGCTTCTATACAGTGAACGGAGGAACGCGCCGCCCTCCCCTGGCGCATGCGGTGAGCGCAAGCCCGCTCCCCTGCGCTCAACGTTGAGGAACGAGATGAGGAAAAAAGAACGAGGATCAGATAAGAACGAGAGAGAAAGTCTTCGTTCAAGAAAAAGAAAGAGAGGAGGACCGGATAACAATTGAGGTACTGCAGCAGTTATGGACCCATAGCTTGTGGGGTCATATCAATGCCTAATAGATATAGTAAACACATGCATGTCGAATGTAAGAGAGGATCACCTTTAGTATTTTCATCTTAACTTTTTACCACTAAAATGTAATTAGTACCCGTATTTACCTAACATATTACGATTCCTATGTTATAAATTCCTGTATTTCAAACAACATAAATTTTCTGTTTCTATGTTTTGAAATCCCATAATTTTTCACTTTTATCGTATCTTATTCCTGCGTTTTTTCCTATTCCTACGTTTTGGATTCCTTCATTGCAAACGTGCCCTACCAGCACGGGAACGGCGACGACACAAATACTACGTGGATGAGGCATCGATAAAACATAAAGTGCAAATTAACCAGCCACGTTGCCGGCGCGCGCATGCATGGAAGCACGCAGTTTTTGCTCCGACGGCCTTAATTACCTGCTGTCAGCGCTGTTGGTGATGGAGGGTCGGGGTCCTCGGGGACATCGGGCGGGAGCTCGTGGCCGTGGCCACACGGATGCATGTTATGATCCCGTTCCCGTTCGCGCTCTCTCCCCTAGCGCCCCGGGCACGTGGTTCGGGCCGTGGCGCGCCTCACTCGTGATCCGCGGACTCCGATCCGTGTCCTTGCGGCACGCGCGCGACGCTAAACGTCGTCGTCCACACATCGCCCGCCCCGGCGGCGCCGGCC